TTTTTTTTTTTTTTTTTCGAGGGGAAAGGTTTCAGTACCGAAACGTCCGCCTTTATGAAGGGGAGCGGACGAATACTGTGGGACTGGACGAATCCGACCCACCAAAACCCCCCGGTGTTCCTCCTTTAAAACCGCGTGAAAGCGCCGTCATGCGGGTCCGCCGAAGCATTCGTCCGCATGCCGGCCGCGGGTCTCCACTGAAGGAGCCGCTCGGATGCGGGCGCGGGGACCACTCCGCGCCCGCCCTCCTCTGACCACTCGCCTCCTTGGAGCTTTGGATGCCCCTACATCCGCCGCCCCGAGTGTCTAGGTTGGGACTTCGGGTGCACGCACCGTCCGCCCCCCTCCACGCCGGGCGCACGAAGGCGGCGGAATAGCAACACCGCCCCGCCCGGTGCCCCGACACGGGTCGGGGACTCTCACACAGACCACCAACAGCGACCAATTCAGCCGTCAGTGGTCTGGGCCGCTGACCGTCTTAGGGAACGGTCCACGGCATCACTCACGCGGGGTGCAAGGCACCCCACAAACATACATACCCCGGGTCGCAAGGCGTTCCCCGGGGTAGTACGGCTCTACTACGAACGCGGTGGATTCACCATCACCGCGCCCGGCCCCCGCAATGGGGGGGCAGCTACTCTCATCGGGCTTAAAAGCCCGGCGCTCCGAAGAGCCACTACACCGCTCCGCCGATCGTCCTTGCGGACGCCAGGCAGGAGCGAGCCACCAGGGGAGCAAGTCCCCATCGCCGGAAGGAGGGCACTAAGTGCTCGCCTCCTCCAGCGCCACACAGTCAAGTCCGGGTTCGGCACTCCACACACAAACAGTCCCGTGTCCACACACTTGCGGAGCCCACACGGCTCCGCCAGGGGCCACAGTCCTGTCGGCGGCGGCGGGAGCAGGCCACACCCGCCGCATGCCAGTCCTCTCCATAGAACAAGTCCCGCGGGACACACCAGCGGCGCCCACCCGGCTCCGCTGGGTCTCCGCGGTCCCGACGGCGGCGGCGGGGGCCAGGCCACACCCGCCGCAAGCCAGTCCACACAATTGTACCGCGCGGCGCGACGCCGAGCGACGCATCGAAGCGACACCGGGTGCGCCGCGCGGTCCTCCAAATGGTCCCGCGGGACGCGCCGGCGGTGCCCACGCGGCTCCGCCGGGTCCCGCGGTCCCGCACCGGCGGGGGACGAGCCACGCCCGCCGGCGCCACCACACACAGTCCGCCGCGACACACCGACCCGCCGAGCGGCACCAGCGGCCCCGCGGGCACCGAGCGGCCCCGCAGCGGCCCCGAGGCGCCACGGAGGCGGTACCCGGCGCGCCGCGACAGTCCGTCTCGCATAGCAACAGGGCACTGCCTCACTATTGCTATGGCGACTCACCTCAGTCCGTGTATTGCGCGTGGGCGGGGGCCGAGCCACACCCGCCGTTCGCACAATAAGTCCACTCCGGTAGCAACAGGGGCCACCTGCCCGCTGTTGCTATAGTGTCACTGTCACTCACTTCGCACAAAGTCACTTTTTCAGTCACACGGTGTGCCATCTGACAGGGTCACAGACACGACCGCCAAATGACACATCATTTGACCTACTTCCGTGACCTCACTCGCGATGGCGTACGAAACACGGAGAACAAGTCTCGACGTGTTCGCAGCGCGACTCCCGGAGCCGCCAGAGCGGCGCCGGGCCCCGCCGACGGACGCCGGGCGCCCGCGGAGCGGACGGCGGCGGCCGCGGAGCGACCCGGCACCGCTCCGGAGCCACCGTGCGCACGTCCGCACGCCACGGCGGCTCGAACGCGACTCAACCTAACCTAACCTAACCTAACCTAACCTAACCTTTTTTTTTTTTTTTTTTTTTTTTTTTTTTTTTTTTTTGTCAGGAAAATCCATCATGGAGAACCATTCCCTTAGGGAAGAATGGATACTGCCGGACTCCTACCTGCTAAAAACCTGACGACTGTTCCTCCTCGACATAATCGCCGTGGCCATGGGATACGCAAAGCATTCACCAAGACCACCGGCATGGTTCCCATCGAAGGGACCTTTCCATCTAGGCGTGCAGGGAACAGTCTCTGCACGCCACCTCCAGACCCTAATGCCTCCCCGGTGAGCTTCGGATTGCCCTAACAATCCTCCACCCTAGGGTCAAATATGGAGTCGATGCCCACCTGATTTTACTCAGGTGTCCATCGACTCCCCCCCCCCACCTGTGGCCTGCGCCGCGGCGCGGGCTTTGGGCGGGCGACACTGCTTTGTGACGCCCACTCTATGGTCGGACTTGCGACCCGCCGCGGCACAGTACCGACAGTTCGGTGATGGCGCGGCGCACCGTGCGGCCTTGTGGCCGGGCTCGCTGCAGCGGAAACATATTCCGCTGCTATCTTGCTCGGCGGTGCATCGCAGGCCCACATGCCCTGTGAGCAAGCAGCGATAGCACCGCTGCGGCCTCGGGTCCAAGGACTGCACCCGCGCCACCATCCACCCTATTCTCAGTCGGCCGGCCTCGACCAACTTCTTCGCGGCGGCTACCGGACACCGCACCCAGATGGAACCCGTACCCTGCGCATTGCGCCTAATCTCGCCGGTTTTCACCGCGGATTCCCTGCACTCCCCTTCGCGCATGACAGCGACGACGACGTCGGCTACCGACACCGAGTCGTCCAGGTCAACGATCCGCAGCTCAGCCGACTTGACTGGTCTCGTGACCCGGACGTCCTCGTGTAGGACCTCCTCAATTTTGGCAGCCAACGCGTCCGCTGCCTCGCCTGTATTGGTGCCGGGAATCTCGAGGATACGGGCCCCGGTCCGTCCGACTCTGAACCTCAGGTCGGTGATACCGAGCGGCGCCAAAGATATTTTGGCCTTCGCCTCGGTGAGCACCGACCTGTAGGTGACGCCCCTCTCCTCGGCTCCCGGCGTCATGGTCAATACCACTGCCGATGACCGAGGGGGCGTACTTTCACCTTTCTCCTCCGTTTGGACCTCTGGGGTTCCTCCGTGTGGCCGCCGCGTGGCCCCTTCGCAGGCTGCGTTTTGGCGGAAGCTGCCTGGCTTGCGCCAGCGCCTTTTCGCTTCCCTCGTCGCACAACCGTCGACCAGCTCTCAGCGTTTGCTGTCGATGTCGACGGCTGTGGGACGCGTCCACCACTAGGGTCCCGGGTCTGCTGGGCCCTGATGTTCCCTGTACCGGATGATCCGGCAGTAGGCGCACTCTTGGCCTTTGTTGGCCGTCTTCGTTTCGCCGAGATTCGTTCCTCCATCTCGGCGAAACGGCTCTCCATCATCTCGCCTACTCGCCGGATGATCCGGTCTTCGGCGTCCTCTCTTAGAACCCGGGGCGGGGCACTTTCCGGCACAGTCGCCGTCTTTCCGCCGACTACGACTGCAGGAAGTTCAGCTGCAGTCTTTAGCCGCTCGACCTCTTGGAGGGCCTTTTGTAGGGCGCGACGGTCTAGAGCGTTCAGTTGCTTTAGCTCCTCAAGCTTCTGAACGCTCTCCCGCGTCTGCCGCTCCCACCCCTCTCGCTCCGCCTTGAGCAGGGCTAGTTCCTCGGCCATTGCGGCGGAGGACTGCGACGCCATGCGGAGTTCGCGGAATTTCTTCCGCTCCTCCACGGCCTCCTTGAGCATGGCCTTCTTCACCTCCTGCACGGCCTCAAGTTCGGCGCGCAACTTGTGGACCTCTCGCCTAAGGGAGTCTTCGTCGGAGGACCCGGACCTCGCCTTCAGGATATCCGTGGCCGCGCAGATGGAATGCACGGCGGTCTTGATCTCCCGAATCACTGTGCCCTTCAGGTTGCTCGACTTCCTGACAGCGGCGAGCACCTGTTGGGCACTGCTCCCTATCTTGGCTCCCAGCTCATCGGAGCCTAACAAGATGTCCTCCTCGGACGCTTTGCGGGCAGCGGCAGCTGCAGACCCGGAGGACTCGGCTTCGGACGCCGAAGCCCCTGTCTCCATCCGGGATGCAGGCGTGGCCGTCCGCGCTCCTCTCTTGGCTCCCCTGGCCCGACTCGACCTGGACCCGGTCGAGGCAACCTCCACCAGGTCTACCTCGTCGTCGTCGGAGTCCAACTCCCGGCGCCTCTCTACAATCCGCCGTTTGCGGTGTTTCTTGGGCGGCGAGGTACTCCCTCTCGCCGGCCCAAGGCTGTCCTCCGATCTTATGGACAGCGATGACCCTGTCCGTTCGGAGTCCATATGCGCCTCCCTGTCGAGAGCTTCGAGAGCCTCCAGCTCTTCCAGGATCTCGACCCTGCGCGTCATCTCCCGCCTGCACATTTCGTCATAGCTGGTCGTGTCCCCCCCAGAATACGTGGGACAGTCCACCCCCGGCAAATCCGGTGCGGTGGAGGAGGATTCTCCGGTCGCTGAGCGACCGGTACCTCCCTGGGGTAATTTCTCTTTGCGAGCAGCCATGGTCCATGTTGTTCCTTTTTACGGGTGTGGTCCCGGTCTCCCACGAACGAAACGAAAACGAAAACAAAACAAAAAGACAGAAAAGAACAAAGATAGAAAAAGACAGAGGACAACCAAAAATAAATAAAACCAAAATAAATAAAACCAAAAATAAAAGAAGATGAACAAACCAAACAATGAAGACGAACAACAACCAAAAATAAAAACGAAGAGAAAGTTGGGGGGGTTCGCCGGCTCCGGCAGCCTCGACTTTGTCGAGGCATGGGAAACCGCGAACACGCCCAACCTGCGACTTTGGCCGACATAGTAGCCGTATCCCGAAGGAACGACTACTATCCCGCCCGGGGCGTACCAGAACCAAACCATTGCTCGGCCACCGTTCCCCGCGGACGTATCCACGAGGATGGGGAAGCCTCCCAATGGCAGGCCCATACTAGGAGGTTGCCCGACCACACGCCCCTAACCTAACCTAACCTAACCTAACCTAACCTAACCTTTTTTTTTTTTTTTTTTTTTTTTTTTTTTTTTTTTTTTTTTTTTTTTTTAACGTGTGGAAAATCTTCAAAAGACCGTCACCTCGCCGGAGGGATGGCGAGGTGGTGTGTGAGACTTGACTCACTAAAAACCACACGGTGTACCTACGAGCGCCTATGCCGGAGCCAGGGGATTCGCAAGTGCATTCTACCCCAGCTCCGACGGCGACGGCCCGCCCTGTAGATGTTGTAGGGCAGGCCCCATCTCGTTTTGTGGTTAGGGCGACCTATTTCGCCCTACTCCATTGTGGAGGCGTGTGGGTACACGCGCACACCTCCGGGGCCTTTGGATTGGGGGACTGCCTCCCTCAAGGCAGTCACCCCGGCCCCAGTGGGGGATAGAGGGGGGCGGAGTTGGGTACGCCCCCACCTCTAGGCCTGGCTCTTCTGCGGCGGAGGGAAGCGGGACGATCTGACTCCCGCTCCCTTTCCGCCGCCTCCTTCCGCGAGATAACTTCCTCGCAGAAGGAGCTCACCGCCAGCCACGATCTCTCGCTACTGATCATCCTCCGAACTAAATTCGGCAGCGAGAGATCGTCCCCCACTATTCGTGTGAGGACACGGCGCTCACTCTCGAACGCTGGACATTCGTCCAGCGTGTGTTGCGCCGTGTCCTCCACACCTCCGCACTCGTGGCAGCCGGTCGTCGGCTCCTTCCTCGCCACATGACACAGATACCGCCCGAAGCACCCGTGCCCGGACAGTATCTGTGTCATGCGGTACGTCAGTGGCCATCTCCTATTCATCCATCTTTTGAGGATGGGACGGACAGCCTCGACGGTCCTCAGGCCGGCCGATGGACTGGCCAGCCTTTCTCTCCACCTGATCCTGAGGATCCGCCGAAAGTCGGACCTCCGCGCTCCAATCTCATGGCCAGCGGGTGCCTCCCCCATGGAACGTCGCTCCGCGCGCCAGTGATACACTGACGCGTGGAGCTCCGCTACCAAGTCCCACGGAGGAGACCCCGCCAGCAGACCCGCCGCTTCCCCGGATATGGTGCGGTAGCCTCTTATGGCCCGTATGGCCATGACCCTGTGTGGCCTGTTAAGGCAGGCCACATTTTCCCTACCTAGGGCCCCCACCCAGATGGGGGCCCCGTACAGGGCCATGGACCGCACCACGCCGAGGTATAGGCGGCGGGAACCTTCTCCCGGGCCCCTCACATTTGGCAGCAGCCAGCTAAGAGCGCCGGCGGCTGCCATAAGGCGAGGGACCAGGTTCCGAAAGTGAGCGCGGAAGCTCCAACGACTGTCCAGGTCAAGCCCCAAATACCTAATACAGGGCTTGACCCCCACCCTCTGGCCACTGACGACCAGCTGGGCATCCGGAGGTGGCGCGCGCCGAGGCCCATGAAAACATAGGACCTCGGTCTTCTCCAGCGCCACCTGGAGCCCAAGCCTCCTTATTCGGCCGACGACCAGTGCCACGCTTGCCGTGGCAAAGCGGGTAGCCTCCCGTAGGTCCCGCCCCCGGGCAGTGACCAAGGTGTCATCCGCGTAACACACGAGGTCAGTGCCCGTTAAAAGGGCGCCCCGCAGGTTCCAATCATACCCGATGTTCCACAGGATCGGGCCCAGAACCGACCCCTGTGGAACACCGCGTTGCATGTCCCTCGGCACTACAACGCCGTTCCGCCCCGTGCAGAGCACAGACCTGTCTTCGAGATAGGCCCCGATCACGTCCCGAATGTAGGGAGGCGCGCGATGGTACTGCAGCGCCTCCCTAATAGTCGCAAAGGGCAGGGTGTTGAAGGCGTTCTTTATGTCCAACGAGACCGCCAACAACACCCCACCCTGGGACGTCGCCTCTTCCGAGAGGGAGCGCACACGCGAGATCGCGTCTATCGTCGAGCGCCCCTCTCGGAACCCGAACTGCTTCGGGCTGAGATCGGGACCTACCTGAGACAGGTGTTGGACGAGTCGGCCCGCCAAGATTCTCTCGAAGAGCTTGCCGATCTCGTCCAACAGCACTATGGGGCGGAACGCCGAGGGAACCACCGAACCTGCGGGGTGCTCCGCTTTGCGGAGCAGGACCACTCTACCCGCTTTCCACTGATTGGGAAACCGTCCCGACTCCAGACACGCATTGAACAAGCGCCGGAGTCGGTCCCCTAGGGTGTTTAGGGCCAAGGCCAGGACGCGGCCGTGGATGCCATCCGGACCCGGGGCGACATTCTTGCCCCGGAGTTTATCCACGGCCGCGGCGAACTCCTCCACGGTGATGGCAGGAACCGCAGCAGCGCTGACGCCGCTGGCCTCTCCATCACTGCCACGCGGCATCATCGGAGGAGGTGTGAAGGGAGGCTGTCTCGGGAACAGCTCCTCCAACACCTCCTCCAACTGCTGCGGCTGGAGACCCTCTGCCACGGGGGGCGCCCAGGGGCGTAATTTGCCCCTGACGAACCTATAAGGACGCCCCCATGGATCCCTGTCCAGGGTCTCCAGGAGTTCTTCCCTGGCTGTCTCCTTGGCCCTGCTGATGGACAGCTGCAGAGCTTTCTTCCTCTCTTTGTACTGCTCGTACAGCTGTGCTTCCTCGTCGGCGTCGCGGCCCCGCCTGAGTCGGCGGTGCCTGGTGTACCGGCGGCGGGCGGCGGAGCACTCCTCCCTCAACGCCGCTATCTCCTCCGACCACCAGTACACCTGACGCCTAGGAGGTCGAGGGCCGGCTCGGGGCATCGCCGCGTCGCAAATGTGCGACAGAGCCTCACCGAACCAGCCCACCTCTGCGTCGACCTCCACAGGCCCCTCCGGTATGGGAACCCAGGCCTGGACGATGGAAGCCTCCATCAGCACGTCTTTATTCAGACGTTTCAACACCCATCTGGGGAGTTGTGGGACATTTCTCTCCTGGCGACCGGGGTGCGGAGCTACGGGTGAGGGGAGAACGTCTATCCGAATGTAACGATGATCGGATAGCGTCTCCACCTCATCCAACACCTGCCAGCTCCGCACCCTCTGTGCGATCGCTGGACTGCAGAGGGATACGTCGACATGCGACTCCCCCTGCTGTCTCACGCACGTGGCGGCCGACCCTCGGTTTAACACCACCAGGCCGGCCGCGGCCGCCCAGTCTTCCAGGACCCTGCCTCGAGAGTCGGTGATGGGGGAGCCCCATGCCGTGGATTTGGCATTGAAGTCCCCCATCACCATCATTGGACGGGCCGAGTATAGCTCAAGAGCGGCCCCCAGCCCGTCCATGAACTGCTCGAACTCGGCGAGAGTCCTGTTCGGAGAGAAGTATGTCCCGACAACGACGGTTTCCCCCCAACTCACACCTATGTACCCCGCTCCGCCGAATAGGCGGCTGACGAGCGGGGTTGCGGAATTGCCCGCACCGACAATGGCCACCAGGCCAGAGGGGTCGCCGAACCAATGGTCACTACGTGGGACACGATATGGTTCGGCGACCACTGCAAGGTCAACTCCCCACTGCGCCGTGCTCTGCAGAAGCAGATCTTGGGCGCGCGCGCAGTGGTTGAGATTCCCCTGCAGGAGGCGATGGACTGCCATTATTGACCGGTGTCCATCACCTCAGCCTCTCCCCGGCGGCCATTGCCGCGGGCCGACGACAGTGCGGATCCCGTCTTTTTGTTGCGGGACTGGGGGCACTTTTTGGCCCCCACCCGGTGATCAGCTGGGCGACCCGCCGCTGCGCAGACCACGCAGTGTGGGGCCGCCGAACATCCGGCCGCTTTGTGGCCGGGAGCCCCACACCGGTAGCAAAGGCCACTCCGGTCCTCCTCGTGCGAGCACCGTGCCACCACGTGCCCGCTTTCGAGGCACCGGAAACACCGGAGTGGCTTCTGCCGCAGCAGCTCCACAGTGGCCGAGACCCAGCCGATCCGGATCCGCCCTGCCGTCGTCACTTTCTTGACCGCGGCCAATGGGGCCCGCACCCAGCAGGTGCCCAGGCCCGACGCGCCGCGCCGAATCACCCCGACGTTGACGGCGTCCGCCGTGCACTCGCCGTGCTGTGCCACGGCGGCCGCCACCTCCTCCCGGTCGGTACCGTCATCCAGGCCCATGACCCTCATCTCCGCGGTCTTGGTGGGCCTGGCGATACGGACCGTACCGTCCGGGAACACGTCCCGGAACTTCGACGCGAGCGCGTCGGCCTGGTCTCCCGTCTGGGACCCTGGGATCTCCAGGATCCGGGCCCCAGTAGCCGCGGTCTTGAAGCGCAGGCTTCCTATCCCCAAGGAGGCGAGGTCGATCTTATCCTTCGCCTCCTTGAGGACGGCGGAGTAAGTCACTCCCGCCGCTTCTGCCTCCGGGCACAGTGTAACCACCACCGCCGCCGATCGCGGGGCACGCAACTTTGATGGCGACGGCGGGGCCGGCTTTCCCTTCTTCCCCTGAGAAGGAGCCCCAGAGGTCCTCTGAGTACTCTGAGTACTCTGGGTCTGCCTCTCAGGGACGTTGCGGTTTTTGCCGCCCCGTCGTACCACTGTGCTCCAGCCCTCGGTTGCGCGCCCCGCGCCCGACGGCCCCGGCTGTTGGCTGCCAGAGGCAGGCCGGTTGGCGGGTTGAAGCGGCGGGAATTCTGCGCCTCGCGCCCCCCGCAGATGGGGAGCGTCCCTGAAGCCCGGTCCCCCTGCGCCGGGGAGCCGGGACAACACCTCGTATTGCCCGTCGCTTTGCAGCGGCGGGCGGTGCTCAGGGCGGATTGATGTCGCCGGGGAGTTGAGACCCAGGGCGGCCTTTATCTCCCTGATGCCCTTCTCAATTTGGATCCCTATTCGGGCATCTATCAACTCCCCGGTGGCCCTCATTATTTCCGCCCTGAAGGCCCCGACCTCATCTAGCTCAGGGGTCGGGGCAGGTGCCCTTACCCTCGCAGGCCCCTGCGGCGCCTGGGAAGCGGCCGAAGGAGGTTGCGACCCCGAGTTCGCCGCGAGCTGCCGCATCTCGGCTTGGAGCGCCAGGAGCTGGTTTCGGAGCTCCTTGTTCTCCTTACGGAGCTCCTCCACCTGCGCCTCCAGCATTCGCCGTTTGACGGCGCTCGCGGTGAACTCGCTGTCGATGACGGCACTCCCGTCCAGTTCCTCCGCCATCAGCATCACGGAGCTGATGCTCTCCTTCAGCCGCTTCTGGTCGGTCCCCTTTAGGTTTCCGCACCTGTGCACCGTGTCCAGGGCAGCCCCGAGCTTTCTCTGGGCCTCCGCCCTGAAGACGGCCACAGGCTGCGAGTCATCCATTGGGGGGACCTTCTCCTTTCCCGCAGGGACCTCCGAGGGTCGGACGAACAACCCGTCGTCCCCTCGTTTTTCCTGCCGCCGGGACTTCGGCGACGTTGCCGGACTCTTTGTGCCACGGCCCACGGGCACCGCCAGGACAATCCCATTCCCGGACGACGGGCAGGGGATTTTGGACGGCTTGCCCGCCGCCCCGGAAGGGCCCGGTCCATCCACGTGCGGCCGCTTCGGCACGGCCGCCTTCGCCAGCCCGTCCTCGCTCGACACAAGGCAGCCGGACAAATCGTCCTCTACCAGCATCGAGCGCGTCGAGCGCGTGGAGCGCGTCGACGACGCTGAAGAGGCCGAGATGCCCGCGACCTTGCTCGCGAGACGGGCCGCGACCTCGCCGCCGACCGCACCGTGTCGGCGTCCGCCAATGTGACGGAGTCCGTCATGGAAACCTAACCTAACCTAACCTAACCTAACCTAACCTAACCTAACCTAACCTAACCTAACCTACCCTACCCTAACCCACCCTAACCTAACCTAACCTAACCTAACCTTTTTTTTTTTTTTTTTTTTTTTTTCGAGGGAAAGGTTTCAGTACCGAAACGTCCGCCTTTATGAAGGGGAGCGGACGAATACTGTGGGACTGGACGAATCCGACCCACCAAAACCCCCCGGTGTTCCTCCTTTACAACCGCGTGAAAGCGCCGTCATGCGGGTCCGCCGAAGCATTCGTCCGCATGCCGGCCGCGGGTCTCCATTGAAGGAGCCGCTCGGATGCGGGCGCGGGGACCACTCCGCGCCCACCCTCCTCTGATCACTCTCCTCCCTGGAGCTTAGGATGCCCCTACATCCGCCGCCCCGAGTGTCTAGGTTGGGACTTCGGGTGCAAGCACCCTCCGCCCCCCTCCACGCCGGGCGCAAGGCGGTGGAACAGCAACACCGCCTGCCGCCCGGTGCCCCGACACGGGTCGGGGACTCTCTCACAGACACACCAACAGCGACCAGATTCAGCCGTTGGTGGTCTGGCCACCGGGCCGCCTTAGGGAACGGCTCGTGGCTTACTCACTAGGGGTTGTTTAAACACACCCCAACAAACATACATACCCCGGGTCGCCATGCGTTCCCCGGGATCGTACCTTCTCTCACTCCGGACACAGCGGCGTCGCCACCACCGCGCCCGGGGGCTCCCCTTTTTAAGGGGGGGCAACACACACTCATCGGGCCTCAGCCCGGTGCTCATAAGGAGCCACTACACCGCTCTGCCGATCATCCTTGCGGACGCCAGGCAAGAGCGGAGCACAGGGAGCTCCAGTCGTGCGACGACTAGACAGCCCCTTCGCTGGCAGGCGGACACGTAGTGCCCTTCTCTGCAAGCGTCACATTGTTCCGCACAGTAGCGCGGTCTCTCTTGGCGCGACACTTCGCGTCCCACACGATGTGGTTCGTATGGTTGTAGCCATACTCCACACAATGGAGGCAGCGCGCCGCCGCAACACAGGAAGAGGCTTTATGCCTTCTCCGGCCGCAGCGGAAGCACCGGCCACCATAGTCCACCTTCATCGTGCACACCCGCGCCACGTGGCCAGGCCGCAGGCAGCGGTAGCACTTAACAACACTGTCCCAAATGGGCGGCTTACCTCCATAAGTCCCGGTAACAGCACTATCCCGTATAACGGTAGGCGTTCCTTCACATGGGCCCGGACGTCGAGCGCGACGCCGGGTCACTACCGTCCATTCACTCTCAGCGGGCACCCGAGCACCCGAGTCCTTCGAGGCCGCCGCGGCCGCCGAGGCGGGGGGGGGACTCGTCGGCCGGGGAGCGGGCACGCCGCCTAGAAGTCTGCCTCTTCTTACGTGGCGCCCGCGGGGCGGGCTCCGATGGCGTCGCCCCGGCCGCTGCGTTGACCTTGCCCGGTGCCTGGCACGGAGCCTGGCACGGCGCCGTCGCGGCGGGCGCGAGGCCCGCCGCGTCGGTCGCGGTGCCGACCGCCGCGCCCGCCGAGCAGGCTTTCCTCTCTGAAGCGAGTCGCTCGAGCACCGCGAGGCGGGCATCAAGAGCGACCTCGATTCTTCTCGATAACACATCGTCCTCATAGTACGGGGGGTCGGGCGATAAGCAGGCCGCAACCCGGTGCGTGACGTCATCCGACGCTCGCTCCGGGGCCGCCATGCTACCACGCGACTCCACCTCACATAAACGCACTTTTATAGCGCGTTTCTTCCTCGCTATTTTCATCCCTATCGAGACTTTCTTTACGCTCGCAAAGAGATCTAAAATCCCTGTCATCAGTTCAGCCATACTTTCCGAAACATGAGTAACGGTTTCTGGCGCCGATGCATTCCTCTCGATGGTACTGGTTTCAGAGTCCATCCTACGCCAGACACTCATCACTTTGTCCTCACACAACTTCACCTCACTTATTACATGGTCTAGTAACGACTTATATGTCCCACTAACCTGTGTTTCCGTCCCTGCAGCTTGAAGCCGCTGCTCAACACTAGACAGGAGTCGCAGTTTATCTAGGAGCTTACCTTCTTCCGATGCATCCATCTTAGTGGTTTTCACCAACACTCACTGTACACACAATAACTCTCGCGCCGTGAAACAGGTTAGAACCTGTTTACACGGCGTTATCGGAGACGTGACGTCACTACGGCGCCGCTAGTTAGGCGGGCGACGCGGTCCGGGGTCGGCGGTGCGCGCGGTCCCAGCGGCACACGGAGCAACGAAAACACGTCCGCTTGCCACCGCGTCTCGAACGCGACTCCAACCTAACCTAACCTAACCTAACCTAACCTAACCTAACCTAACCTAACCTAACCTAACCTAACCTAACCTACCCTAACCTAACCTAACCTAACCTAACCTAACCTAACCTAACCTAACCTAACCTAACCTAACCTAACCTAACCTAACCTAACCTAACCTAACCTAACCTAACCTAACCTAACCTAACCTAACCTAACCTAACCTAACCTAACCTAACCTAACCTAACCTAACCTAACCTAACCTAACCTAACCTAACCTAACCTAACCAAACCTAACCTAACCTAACCTAACCTAACCTAACCTAACCTAACCTAACCTAACCTAACCTAACCTAACCTAACCTAACCTAACCTAACCTAACCTAACCTAACCTAACCTAACCTAACATAACCTAACCTAACCTAACCTAACCTAACCTAACCTAACCTAACCTAACCTAACCTAACCTAACCTAACCTAACCGGAGGTTTAATTTGTTCTCTCGGTATCAAATAGAATTGTTACAACGAAATTACATCGCCTTCTAAAGTTGCTAGTGGCGCCATCTGTTATACAATAGAGCTGTCGTGCTGTATGTGCTTATGCCAACCATTCTATGGAAGTGTGGTAATGTTCTGATATTGTTCTGGGTGCTGGGTGGTCTGATTTTGTACTTCTCTCGATGCGGAGAGGGGGGGGCGGGGATGGTCACGTCTTCTTTTCGTTTCGTTTCGTTTCGTTTCGTTTCGTTTCGTTTCGTTTCGTTTCGTTTCGTTTCGTTTCGTTTCGTTTCGTTTCGTTTCGTTTCGTTTCGTTTCGTTTCGTTTCGTTTCGTTTCGTTTCGTTTCGTTTCGTTTCGTTTCGTTTCGTTTCGTTTCGTTTCGTTTCGTTTCGTTTCGTTTCGTTTCGTTTCGTTTCGTTTCGTTTCGTTTCGTTTCGTTTCGTTTCGTTTCGTTTCGTTTCGTTTCGTTTCGTTTCGTTTCGTTTCGTTTCGTTTCGTTTCGTTTCGTTTCGTTTCGTTTCGTTTCGTTTCGTTTCGTTTCGTTTCGTTTCGTTTCGTTTCGTTTCGTTTCGTTTCGTTTCGTTTCGTTTCGTTTCGTTTCGTTTCGTTTCGTTTCGTTTCGTTTCGTTTCGTTTCGTTTCGTTTCGTTTCGTTTCGTTTCGTTTCGTTTCGTTTCGTTTCGTTTCGTTTCGTTTCGTTTCGTTTCGTTTCGTTTCGTTTCGTTTCGTTTCGTTTCGTTTCGTTTCGTTTCGTTTCGTTTCGTTTCGTTTCGTTTCGTTTCGTTTCGTTTCGTTTCGTTTCGTTTCGTTTCGTTTCGTTTCGTTTCGTTTCGCTTCCTGGACGTGGAAAATTCTGTCCCGTTAATTCTGACCTCCTTGATCTCTTCCAGTGATCTGTGCCACCATATGCATAGCATTCCCGAGCATTATTTCCACTCTGAACCGGTATGTAAGTAATTATTCTGCCGCTGACTGCCACCGTTACGGTCACCACCCACAGCTTGTTCGATCGCCATTAGTACACTTTCACTTTTTAATTGTCTTCGTAGTCTGAAATAATATCTTTGCGCCACTACCGAACGTTTTGGTTGCAAATCATTTCTTAATAAATTTACCACTGCTTCGTATGTTCCGGCTTCCGTGGGCTGATCAAGTTACTTAATAGTTCATACGCCGCATCGCCCGTGACTCTATCAGTGTCGGCAACCACAAGTCGCGTTATATTCCGTTCACGTTGAAATACATCTCCAAACGTTCCGTGTATATCAACAACAAACCTCATAATAGCTTTATTTATATCAAGACTAGTTTAAATTTCAAGTTTCAAAAATTATGCGAATGTTCTAAAACTAATTCATTAGTCTCAACAGATTTCGATTCTAACTTTAAATTTGGTACAGTACGGGCTTTCTTAATGGTATGAATCTCCGAGCAGTGATACCCTTACCCTTAACATTAAAATCTACTAGCCAGTGGTGACATTGCCACTCTTCCGTACCACTGTGACCTAACTGCTTCGCTAAGTGAGCATCGATCATTGAGACCAAAGACCCATCATCTAAAAGTGCAAAAGTTTCAATATTGGCAATCGGACCATACAAAATAACAGGTAAAACTTTCAAAAGTATTCTCTTTGCGCATTTTTGTTTTTGAAAAAGATATATTATTACTACTAGTACTCTGAACTACATATTTTATCAGAAGAAAAATTCATATTATCCTTCTGATAAATTACAGTGGCAATATTTGTACTATGTGAAAAAGAATTTTCCGATTTATTTTCAACGTGTAATAATTTATGATGATTTTGTTTAAAAACATCGCACAGTTTAGCTCTACAAAATTTCCAGCTGTACTTGCCCCTTTTCGGGCATTTCGGACAGAGTTTTTCCTTCTTGAAAGAAGAATTTCAAGTCTTATATTAGACAATTTTTATGTAAGAAAGCCTATTATAGGATAGATGAATTCATAGATGACAGCAACATCTAGCAAAAATAAGTCCTTTTTTGCGGACAACGTTATAATTTCTTTTTCTTATTTTCTTGAAATAATGATAATAATTATTTTCTCAAAATATAATTGCATACCGGCTTCGTATTGATTGTCACATGCATTCTTGTGTAAAGTGCAAATACTATAACTACCATATATGGTAATTTTTAGTAGTTATGACGTGGTCGAGTGGATTGAGTAGTCATGCTCACTAAAATATCCAGACATGTGGTGGCGTTATGGGCCGGGTCATTGGGCTCCCGAAAATATGGTCGAGCGCAGTGACGGCTGGCTAATACATCATACTCGTAAACGAGTGCTGCTTGTAGGGACTGGTCAGTGGTCAGCTCTAATCACTACGACCGTTATATCCTAGACGAGCTAATACATTAGTGCTAGTTGGTAGTTTGTATTGGCACGTTTGGAATTGGAAATGTAAAGTTAAAAGTATTATTAAAAAGAACAACACGCAAGTTTCTTGCTCGTTCTTCTTGTGATGATACAACTTTCCGAATAAGCGGTAGATTAAATGAATGACAACTACGACTATTCAAAAGTGCATAAATTAAGTTTATTTGAATAAATGATTTTTTATTCTATTCTATTCTTTACACAACTGAGACAGTCCTCATCTGAGAGGGCTATGAATTTAAAACAAGTCTTATTGCTATGTGGGCCAGAACAAAATGCACAAGAAATGAGTTTGGACAAATTTTTATTAATTTGAAGGGGCACAGACGCAGTGGTAGTGTTCGCCCATGTTGATCTTGATGCTTCGGGTACGCAGTCTGCACACAATCAATGCGCGGGCCGCAGACGTGGATGTCGCCCTCGTCCTATTAACTGCCCATGCACATGGCAGTTCAAAGCATGCTTGTTTACTAGACTCCTGCTATAAAAATTCCCCAAGCAACTCGAGTTGTGGTTGCCTGGGTGTGTAGTGTATTGTAGCAAAATGACACTACATATCGTATA